GGTTTTTGAGATTAAATGTGACTACAAGATGGAATTCAACCCATTTAATGCTTGAAAATGCAATCAAATATAAGAAAGCTTTTGAAATTATCAAAGTAAGGAATGAAATAGGGTAGATAAAATATGTAAATTCGTAGAACAATTTTATGAGATTATAAACATGATATTTGGTTCATCTTATCCCACTTGAAACTTGTATTTTATATAAATTTGGAAAATTCAACTTACCATTGAAGAGAATTTGTTGAATGAAAATGTCACCTTAAAGGAAATGGCTTGGAATATGAAACAGAAGTTTCAAAAGTATTGGAATGAGTATAGTATTGGGTTAGCTTTTGAAGCTATTCTTGAACCACAACTAAAGGTTGATTTTATAACGTATTGTTATAAAAAATTGGATCATCTGACCTATGCAGAGAAAACAAAGAAAGTGTTAGAGAAGTTCAAGAGGTTATTTAAAGAATAAGTAAAGAACTTGTCTTTCCCTAGTGTTTCTCTTTCCCAATCACCTAATGTTCCCATCTTGATGTCTCAATCCAATACCGAAGGGAAAAAGTTGAAGAGATCAATGATTATTTCAGTAAACATTTTATACATAGTGTTCATTGTTTACATTCTTTTCTAGTTCCTTTTTTTATGATTAATATGTAATGCATTGTAAGATTTTAAAATGTATTAGAATGAATCAAAATATATCATTGGCAAGAACGACATAGATGTTTGTTTAGATGAATCATCAATAGATGATGATGAAGACAATGAAGATTTTAATGTGCTCAAATATTGGAAGACTAATGAGAAAAAAAAAATTTATATTGTTTATAATGGCTCGAGATGTGTTTAGTATTCGTACTACTATAGTGGTATTAGAGTAAGCTTTTAGCAAAGGTCAACATGTACTTTCGAAATATAGAAACTCCATTTGTCCTAAGCATGCAAAAATGTTGATTAGTACTCAAAATTGGCTATATGGATTTTTTGAAAATCCTAACGGTAAGTTTATGTGTCATTATTTTTAAAATTAATTTACATTTAGTTATTAACTCTAGACTAATTATGTGATTGTATTTCAATTGGTTGTGATAGAAGACGTCATTAAAGATATACTTATCCATGATGAATCATTGATGGGTCTAAACTTTTTGAAAATATTGAAAGTCTTCAACAATGATACTTCTTCAGGTTTTGTTATACAATTTATGTAATTTTATATTAATTTCCATGTAACATGGATTTCTAGGTTACTATATCCTTCTATCGGTTGAATTTCATGTTTTGAATCATTTGCACATGTTAGGCCTCGTGGTGCTTTGTTTTGAACACAACTACCGACTTTGGCCTTGCAAAATGGGCATCAACTTCATCATCACACATAAGGTTGCTATCAATTCTCTTTCTATTGAGTCTAAACAAGGGGCCCGTGAATTTATGACAGAAATTGATTTGATATCAAATATAGAACTTCCTAATCTTATTGAATTGATTGACGGTTGCATTGAGGGTAGTATTTAGATACTGGTTTGAGTTTATGGAGAAAAATGGCCTTTCCAGCTCTTTGCTTGGTAAATACTAGTACAATTTAAATACATATTTGAATATGATTCTTACATAAGTTTGATTAGTTTGAAAGTTTTTTAGTGACTTCCATGTTTGATTTGGTTACAAGGAATTAAGGGTTTGATAGTTTCCATGTTGTATGATACTGCTTAAATCAACTATCGAGGAGTTATTTATGAATTGGTTTATGCTAATGCAAGGAGAACATTTTTACAAGTTCAAAAAGTAAATTTGTTGCTCTGGATTGGCCAAAGAAGGCTGCAATTTTTCGTGACACAACTTCTAGTCTACATTTTTTTCACAAAGAGGCTCAACCAAACATTGTTCATAAGGATGTCGAGGCCATGTAACTGTTTTTATAAATGGAGGTTATGGTTAGACTATATTTCTTTAGTTTTTCAAGTTTTTGATGAGTTTCCATATTTGTAGTTAGACTATAAATGTCTTATTTCCAGATTTTTAGTTTATTATTATAATTTTCTCATTTTTAAAAGAAAGATCCATAGATTGACTCTAATTTATAAGATTTTATGAATGAATGTTTGATCTTATAAACTTTTTTAATTAAGGATTTTTTTTACCATTAGGCTTTTTTGACCCAATCTACATATGTTAGGGACAAGTCCTAAGAGTAGAACTAATTTGATAGGCCTATCAATGAAAAATGAATGGATGAATGGATAAAGAAGAAATGTAAGAAGAGGACGTGAAGGGTGTGACTATGTCGCCTAATGAGGGAAGAGCATGTAAAATGGGTTTTTACATTAGTCAAAGATCAAAGGTCAATTTTGGTATTTTATAAAATTTTGGAATGCAGGAAAAAACAGAAAGGAAGACACCCCATGATTTAAATAATTGACAAATATTAAATTCTAGGGTGTTTCACCTTCACCTTCAAGACTTTCACCCTGCACCTCTAGTTTTTACAAATGTCCGATAATATTTTGCTTATTTGTATACAATGTAGTTTAATATAGATTGTCATATAATAATAATAAAATCATAAGTAGATTTTTAATTGCAATTTTATATACATTATGAAACATTTATAATAATAATAAAATCAATGGATGAGTGAATTTTTTAAATGCAGCATAACTTTCAAAATTTTTAATTCAATATTTATTAAATTTTAATGATTTATTTAGTCTTTGAATTTATAAATTTTTTAATTGAATTAATAGTATTAGTTTTTGAATCTTTTTATACAAAAGTTATTGACCTTGGCTTTCTAAATTTTTAATTCAATATTTATTAAATTTTAAAGGCAATCAATTATAAAGGCTTAAACATGGATTTCGAAATTTTTAATTTAATATTTAAGAATTTTTAATGATTTATTAAGTCTTTCAAACTATAAAATATTTTAATTGATTTTATAAATGATTTATTAAGTTTTATTTTTTTTACATTCATAATTCATTACGATAGTATTACAAATAAAAAATTTTTAATTTTATAAAATTAAAAAACAAATAATTTTTAATCCCTCAACTATCAAGCGATTTTGTTTTTCGTCCCTATTTCAAACTTTGTACGATTTGATCCCTCTCCTTAAGGAAACCATAATTTTTGGTCCTCTAAAACAAACGGAGTTAAAAATCGGGCGAGGTGGCTAACGTCTAGCCACCTGTCGTTTGCCACGTTGGTACTTTTTTGTTTCCCAGGAGGTTGTTCGCGGTTTCTTCTGGATCTCCAACGCTGTTCTCTCATCCACAATCGACGAGGATGACACCTCGAACAAAGCCTTGTCCAAACTCCCATTGGGCATCAAGTCATACACCAGCAGAATCTCCCCTTTTCTCATGGCACCAGCCGAACCAGATTCCGATGCCTCAAGCTCCCAATGATAGACAACTCAGACAAAAATTCATTCTTCCCCTGACTACTATGGCTGCATCTCTTCACCGCAACAATGTCCCCGTTTTCAGGCAAAACCCCCTTATACACAGTCCCAAACGCGCCATGACCAATGATCTTATTAGCATTGAAACAGTTGGTAGCAAACTTCAGCTCCTTGTAGGTAAACCGCCGCTCCTAAATTCTACTTACACAACCCATTGTGGCAAGACGATTTTCTTTTGCTATCTTTCTCTTCACTGTTAGAAGGAGCCGGAGAAGGAGGCGCCGACTTCACCACATTCCTCGACAATAAACCCATGGCAATAAACCCGCCGCCGCCACCATCCGCGGCGGCGCGGCTGCGCTAAGTCCAAGAAATCCACCGGCATCGCCGATCGTTTCATGGTCCGGCGCAAGAACGAAGGCGAGGCCGCCGTCGATGGAGGATGGGTTGAGGTTGGCGATGGAGAAGGAAAAGAAGGTGGTGAAGCTGGCCGGATCTTCAATGGGGTACCTGCCACTCATGGATCTTCAAGTGGTTGTCTTCCCTGACTCTACCTTTCCTCTATCCTGGTAAATCTACCTTCTCAAAAACAGATTTTGCTCCTGTGCCAGAAAGAGCAATATATCGTGAAAGGGAGAGAAAAGGTGAGAAAGATTCAGTGAGTGTCAAAAAAAAAAATACTTTGGCATACACCGTTAGCCACCTCAGTTAATTTTTAACGCCGTTTATTTTGGAGGACCAAAAATTATGATTTCTTTAAGGAGAGGGATCAAATCGTACAAAGTTTGAAATAGGGACGAAAAACAAAATCGCTTGATAGTTGAGGGACTTAAAACATATTTAACCCAACTATAAAATGTTTTAATTGATTTTGTAAATGATTTATTAAGTTTTATTTTTTTTACATTCATAATTCATTACGATAGTATTACAAATAAAAAATTTTAAATTTTATAAAATTAAAAAACAAAAAAATATTAAATATTTACAAACAAAATTATTTAATTCAAAATAAATATAATTAATTCAAATATTTATATAAATAAATAATTAATTAAAATAAAACAAATTAATTAAAATAACAACGAAAAAATTATAAAACAAATAAAACATAAAATATATCAAAACAATAAAACTTAATGAAATTACAAATAATTAATAAATTAAAATAATTTATATATCATTTTTCTAAATGTTTACATCTATTTATATACAATATTTTTCAATACTTATTTTATTTATTTATATCTATTTTCACAAATTTCTTTAAAACATATGTATTTAGAAAAACAATTTATCTAATTTTTATTGTCTAATTTAATAAATATTACACTACTAATTTTAATATCTTAGTCATCACCATTATGAGTTACTTAATATATTATCAAAGAAGTTTACCCTCAATTTTGCTCCCATAAAAAAATGTAAAACCTCAAGATATTTTTGAAATAGTACCATGAAATAAAGTGGGGAAAGGAAACTTATATTTAAGTCCGCCAAACATAACTTTTTTTGCTTAGTACGCTATAACAAATATAAAAAGTTGGTCACTTTTATATCAAGAAACTATTATTAATTGAGTAATTTGTCAGTAATATACAAAAACAACCAAGTAATACATTATTTCTGAATGAGACCGGTATCTACAACTACAAGTTTAGGTACTTTTCGGATCAAAGTTTCTGCTATGATGAGCGTTCACCGCAATTATCTTGTATATTTTTGGTACATAAAACATGTTCAGCCAAAGATACAACAAAATACGAGCCATTCTGTAATTCATGTTTGCCTAAAAAGAGCAATTTTCCTTGGTGAAGATATGGGTAACAGTTGCAAAATTATTCGATGCCATCTCATCGCTGAGATCAAGACAACAAATAGTACTGGAAATTTTCATACTAAGCATTAAAATTAAAAAGCAAAGGGTAATTTGAGGTTAATAGGAGGACTAGTTACATTACTTAGAACCATGCTTAGCATAGTCTTCTACTCTGTGAAGAGCATCCATGAGAACATCAGTTGTCCAATCCTTTACATCCTCCTGTGCACAGCATGTGAAAATTTCAGTCACTCAGGGTGTTTGGATTAGGTTCATGGTGAGAAATTATCAATTAATTTTGCATGGTGAAGGAAGGTAAGACAACAAATACTTCTCTCTTTCAGGACGATAGGATAGAGTTGATTTTTGTGCTATCTAAACACATTGTAAATTTAAATGTTTCCTAACTCCAATGCAAGTACTTGTGCTGATTCTTAAAGTTAAGCTACTTTAAAATATCATTAGAACAAATGAGTTCTTAAAGACATTGCCTATGTAAACTCCAATACAACTAACAACATTACTTAGCATTAAAAAAACAATTTTTCAAGTCAAAATGAAAATATATCATGAGTAGAGAGATATAAGAGGACTTGCTAAATAGAAAAATCTTACTACTACTAAAACCAACTTAAAAACTCAGGTTCAATTCCACCATTCGAATGAAAATTGTAAGAGTGTGTTTTCAAAACCATTCAACCTCCATTGAATGTGAATCCAACAATTTCTCTTATGATCTGTTTAGTTCTGAAAAAAAAAATAGAGGAAATAAGCTGAGAAATAAAACTGAATGTTTAGTTGTTTGGTTGAGAAAAGAAATAGCTGAAATATATACAGAAAATGTTTTCAAAATTGTGTAATTTGATAATAAATAGGGAGATAAGGAGATAAATAAGAAAAAGTAGAGTCAGTCCAACAATATTACAGGTACCGTATGTTTTCCAATTTACTATGGTAATTTGCATTTTATTGAATGCATTGCATATTACTAAGGTGAAACTCTACCAAACAAACCAACAAAATTAACGACCTCTCTCTTTTCTTTTCCTCCTCCCTACCGGAGAAAAACCCTTTGTCATGTTTAGTTTCTTAGAAAATGAGAATTCAGTGTTGAAAACACAAAAAACAAAAAGATTTTCAGCACGGATATCTCTTTTTCAAGAAACTAAACATGTATGGGAGAAATTGTTGGATTCGGAAGTTGAATAGTTCTGCAAACACACTCTAAGTTTTCAATTTTTGCATTGAAAATGCTCATCAACAAATGCCTAAATCATGTGCGATGAAGGATATTTCATAGATTGTGTAGACCAATCTACCAAAAGTCTAGAGAAGTTAATTTCAACCATAGTTATATAGCTATCTATTCAAGATCAGTTTTTTTCGAGAAAGCATATTCTCATCGAATGGACAGCCTACACACATATAAAGAAAGTAAAGAATATGTAAGGTGAGAGTGATTACCATGCGCAATGGTTCTCCGGTTCTTATTCTGGAATTAGGGCGCGAAAAAGTGGACTCAAACGGGGTTCTGGGCCTGATTTCTCGGAACTTCTCCCACTCCTCTCGGGTTACCATTCTAACGGTGCCTTGACCTTCAGGAGCATTCTTTATCTTACGCTCCAACAGCTCTTGGGATTTAGATTCATCATACTGTCACCGATTACATCCATTAGTCACAACGTCATTTCATCGAACACGTGATGTGCATCAAGATCAGTCACCGTAACCCTCACATTGACATACTTGTTAGTTTATATTGTGGAGTTGGGAGGTGGCATACGTACCATCATGAGGAGTTTGGCGAGTAGAGCGATTCCGACGGCGGCGACGACCATGGGAATGGTGGCGGTGTCGAGGTAAGACAGGGATTCGGGAACTGTAACGATAAACTGGTCCTTGCTCTTGGGTTGCCTCATCTTCCTTTTCTTCTCCAATTCCAACGCTCTTCGCTTCAATGCTTCTGTGGGCACATCACCACGAAGAGTATGCAAAAATCTACACTTCAATGCGTTCATCCTTGGTTACCTTTCATCCAACACAAGGAAGGGGATCCCTCTGTGCCGATTCATCATGTCTTCACTACCCCTTTACTATTATATATAGTATTAATAAACATTTCTTTTATATAATTAAAATTTATAATAAAAGTATTTAAATATGCTGATTATATTTAAAAGTTACTATAAACATTTTTATATTTTATTTTTTAATTTTCATTTGAAAAATAACTCTATAAGACATTTTGTCTTTTTGTAACATCATTCAGTGTTTTGAATGTTCATATAATAGAATAATGTTATTGTTGCAGAAAAGTTTATTGATTTTATACTTAATAAATAATACTTATTTAAAAATTTATCAATTATCTTTAGGGATATTTCTCTGGAAAGAAAAGTTAATCTTTTACCTTTTATATACAGAACCCGGCTTGTCTCTGTTGCACTTTACTGTTTTGCTTATGGTTGAAATTCGAAAAATTTATTAGAATTGGATCTTTAGGATATGTTCATTTTAGAGGTTGTATTTGAAAAAAGAGGTGGATAAATTTAAGAAGATTTGGAAGATTTGAAACAGTGAATTTAAAAGCAAGTAAAAATTAATGTAATATATTTTATCGATATGATAAATACAAAAAAGTTTAATTAATAGAAATTTAAAATAATCAAAATACTCTTACGAGTAAAACTAATATAAATTAATAATTGTATATATAATTTTAAAATAGTTAATAAGGAGAAAGTTAATTTTTAAAATGTAAAAAATGTTATTTAAGTACAATGAAATAATTATTTTTAAAACACAACATTTTGTGAATATAATTTATTGTTAAGTGATATAATTTTTTTTATTAAAGTGAAATTGAATATTCATGATGAAACAAATAATTAATCGAAATTACACTATTACATGACATAAAAAATGTTTGAACATAATAAGGTACAACTATATTTATCANTGATTTTATAAATGATTTATTAAGTTTTATTTTTTTTACATTCATAATTCATTACGATAGTATTACAAATAAAAAATTTTTAATTTTATAAAATTAAAAAACAAATAATTTTTAATCCCTCAACTATCAAGCGATTTTGTTTTTCGTCCCTATTTCAAACTTTGTACGATTTGATCCCTCTCCTTAAGGAAACCATAATTTTTGGTCCTCTAAAACAAACGGAGTTAAAAATCGGGCGAGGTGGCTAACGTCTAGCCACCTGTCGTTTGCCACGTTGGTACTTTTTTGTTTCCCAGGAGGTTGTTCGCGGTTTCTTCTGGATCTCCAACGCTGTTCTCTCATCCACAATCGACGAGGATGACACCTCGAACAAAGCCTTGTCCAAACTCCCATTGGGCATCAAGTCATACACCAGCAGAATCTCCCCTTTTTCATGGCACCACCCTTGAAGCCGAACCAGATTCCGATGCCTCAGGCTCCCAATGATAGACAACTCAGACAAAAATTCATTCTTCCCCTGACTACTATGGCTGCATCTCTTCACCGCAACAATGTCCCCGTTTTCAGGCAAAACCCCCTTATACACAGTCCCAAACGCGCCATGACCAATGATCCTATTAGCATTGAAACACTTGGTAGCAAACTTCAGCTCCTTGTAGGTAAACCGCCGCTCCTAAATTCTACTTACACAACCCATTGTGGCAAGACGATTTTCTTTTGCTATCTTTCTCTTCACTGTTAGAAGGAGCCGGAGAAGGAGGCGCCGACTTCACCACATTCCTCGACAATAAACCCATGGCAATAAACCCGCCGCCGCCACCATCCGCGGCGGCGCGGCTGCGCTAAGTCCAAGAAATCCACCGGCATCGCCGATCGTTTCATGGTCCGGCGCAAGAACGAAGGCGAGGCCGCCGTCGATGGAGGATGGGTTGAGGTTGGCGATGGAGAAGGAAAAGAAGGTGGTGAAGCTGGCCGGATCTTCAATGGGGTACCTGCCACTCATGGATCTTCAAGTGGTTGTCTTCCCTGACTCTACCTTTCCTCTATCCTGGTAAATCTACCTTCTCAAAAACAGATTTTGCTCCTGTGCCAGAAAGAGCAATATATCGTGAAAGGGAGAGAAAAGGTGAGAAAGATTCAGTGAGTGTCAGAAAAAAAAATACTTTGGCATACACCGTTAGCCACCTCAGTTAATTTTTAACGCCGTTTATTTTGGAGGACCAAAAATTATGATTTCTTTAAGGAGAGGGATCAAATCGTACAAAGTTTGAAATAGGGACGAAAAACAAAATCGCTTGATAGTTGAGGGACTTAAAACATATTTAACCCAACTATAAAATGTTTTAATTGATTTTGTAAATGATTTATTAAGTTTTATTTTTTTTACATTCATAATTCATTACGATAGTATTACAAATAAAAAATTTTAAATTTTATAAAATTAAAAAACAAAAAAATATTAAATATTTACAAACAAAATTATTTAATTCAAAATAAATATAATTAATTCAAATATTTATATAAATAAATAATTAATTAAAATAAAACAAATTAATTAAAATAACAACGAAAAAATTATAAAACAAATAAAACATAAAATATATCAAAACAATAAAACTTAATGAAATTACAAATAATTAATAAATTAAAATAATTTATATATCATTTTTCTAAATGTTTACATCTATTTATATACAATATTTTTCAATACTTATTTTATTTATTTATATCTATTTTCACAAATTTCTTTAAAACATATGTATTTAGAAAAACAATTTATCTAATTTTTATTGTCTAATTTAATAAATATTACACTACTAATTTTAATATCTTAGTCATCACCATTATGAGTTACTTAATATATTATCAAAGAAGTTTACCCTCAATTTTGCTCCCATAAAAAAATGTAAAACCTCAAGATATTTTTGAAATAGTACCATGAAATAAAGTGGGGAAAGGAAACTTATATTTAAGTCCGCCAAACATAACTTTTTTTGCTTAGTACGCTATAACAAATATAAAAAGTTGGTCACTTTTATATCAAGAAACTATTATTAATTGAGTAATTTGTCAGTAATATACAAAAACAACCAAGTAATACATTATTTCTGAATGAGACCGGTATCTACAACTACAAGTTTAGGTACTTTTCGGATCAAAGTTTCTGCTATGATGAGCGTTCACCGCAATTATCTTGTATATTTTTGGTACATAAAACATGTTCAGCCAAAGATACAACAAAATACGAGCCATTCTGTAATTCATGTTTGCCTAAAAAGAGCAATTTTCCTTGGTGAAGATATGGGTAACAGTTGCAAAATTATTCGATGCCATCTCATCGCTGAGATCAAGACAACAAATAGTACTGGAAATTTTCATACTAAGCATTAAAATTAAAAAGCAAAGGGTAATTTGAGGTTAATAGGAGGACTAGTTACATTACTTAGAACCATGCTTAGCATAGTCTTCTACTCTGTGAAGAGCATCCATGAGAACATCAGTTGTCCAATCCTTTACATCCTCCTGTGCACAGCATGTGAAAATTTCAGTCACTCAGGGTGTTTGGATTAGGTTCATGGTGAGAAATTATCAATTAATTTTGCATGGTGAAGGAAGGTAAGACAACAAATACTTCTCTCTTTCAGGACGATAGGATAGAGTTGATTTTTGTGCTATCTAAACACATTGTAAATTTAAATGTTTCCTAACTCCAATGCAAGTACTTGTGCTGATTCTTAAAGTTAAGCTACTTTAAAATATCATTAGAACAAATGAGTTCTTAAAGACATTGCCTATGTAAACTCCAATACAACTAACAACATTACTTAGCATTAAAAAAACAATTTTTCAAGTCAAAATGAAAATATATCATGAGTAGAGAGATATAAGAGGACTTGCTAAATAGAAAAATCTTACTACTACTAAAACCAACTTAAAAACTCAGGTTCAATTCCACCATTCGAATGAAAATTGTAAGAGTGTGTTTTCAAAACCATTCAACCTCCATTGAATGTGAATCCAACAATTTCTCTTATGATCTGTTTAGTTCTGAAAAAAAAAATAGAGGAAATAAGCTGAGAAATAAAACTGAATGTTTAGTTGTTTGGTTGAGAAAAGAAATAGCTGAAATATATACAGAAAATGTTTTCAAAATTGTGTAATTTGATAATAAATAGGGAGATAAGGAGATAAATAAGAAAAAGTAGAGTCAGTCCAACAATATTACAGGTACCGTATGTTTTCCAATTTACTATGGTAATTTGCATTTTATTGAATGCATTGCATATTACTAAGGTGAAACTCTACCAAACAAACCAACAAAATTAACGACCTCTCTCTTTTCTTTTCCTCCTCCCTACCGGAGAAAAACCCTTTGTCATGTTTAGTTTCTTAGAAAATGAGAATTCAGTGTTGAAAACACAAAAAACAAAAAGATTTTCAGCACGGATATCTCTTTTTCAAGAAACTAAACATGTATGGGAGAAATTGTTGGATTCGGAAGTTGAATAGTTCTGCAAACACACTCTAAGTTTTCAATTTTTGCATTGAAAATGCTCATCAACAAATGCCTAAATCATGTGCGATGAAGGATATTTCATAGATTGTGTAGACCAATCTACCAAAAGTCTAGAGAAGTTAATTTCAACCATAGTTATATAGCTATCTATTCAAGATCAGTTTTTTTCGAGAAAGCATATTCTCATCGAATGGACAGCCTACACACATATAAAGAAAGTAAAGAATATGTAAGGTGAGAGTGATTACCATGCGCAATGGTTCTCCGGTTCTTATTCTGGAATTAGGGCGCGAAAAAGTGGACTCAAACGGGGTTCTGGGCCTGATTTCTCGGAACTTCTCCCACTCCTCTCGGGTTACCATTCTAACGGTGCCTTGACCTTCAGGAGCATTCTTTATCTTACGCTCCAACAGCTCTTGGGATTTAGATTCATCATACTGTCACCGATTACATCCATTAGTCACAACGTCATTTCATCGAACACGTGATGTGCATCAAGATCAGTCACCGTAACCCTCACATTGACATACTTGTTAGTTTATATTGTGGAGTTGGGAGGTGGCATACGTACCATCATGAGGAGTTTGGCGAGTAGAGCGAT